ATTGCTCATTCATTCAGTCAACAAATTATTGAATCCTTTTATTGTCAGGCAGTGCGTTAGGCATGGCGATTCGATATACCTTGAATGTGTATACTTCTCCCTATCCTCACTGCTATCCTCCTAGTCCCAAACCATTGTTGAATGCAGTTCTATGTGTACGTTCTCTTGCAACCTAGTAAAAATAGTAAATAGAAAATTATTATTTTAAAAATTTTCATAAAAATTTCTCCAAGACCACAGATGGGACTTTAAAAGGCAGCATTTGTTGTTAGTTTGATTTGATTTTCATTAGTCTTTTCACTTTCATAATGAGGTCATAACTCATGGGTAGTGCTATTGCAGTTGTATATATATTACTGAAATGCTAAAAGCTTCAGCTTGTTGATGGTGTGCGATTGTGTTTGTTTATATGCATATATAAATGGTTTGAACATTTGAATGTATATTTTCCCCCTGTCGTTCTAGTTGGACTGATCCAGAGGTTTCTTGTACTTCAGATTTATGTACCCCTGGGACAAGACTTCTCCACCGAATTGCTGTAAGATATACAGAACTTCTTTGAATGTTTTATGTGTATTAGACATTTGATCAATTGAAGCGGTACCAACAGTCATTAATTGCAAGTGGCAGTTTTTGCATTAAAGAGTAGTGACTTATCAAGTCGACATGAAGTAATTAAACTAATTTAATTGTATTTCTTATGTATCACTATAGTCTGGCATTTCCCTAGGGAAAGAAAGCAAATTTAATCTGTTTAAGGAAATATTAAAGAATTATCATTTTGACAATAAATGACCTATAACTTCAAGAAATAAATATATCATCCAAAAGTTTGAGATTTTGGTCCAAATGAAGGGTAATGTTATGTTTTATACTGTCTCCTGTTCAAAACTATGGTTGTTTAAAATTGATTGAAATACCTCACTTTAATAATATTTACTTTGTTTAGAAGAATTGGTCCTTCTTGTTTACATATAAATAGCTTGGAATATGTTTGTTTTAAATGGCCTCGTGAGATTATTTAGCAAACATGAAAATATACAACTTTTACTCAGTTGAACTTTCTGTTGCGTGAGATGGTACTAGAATGAAAATAACATTTGATTTGTAGACTCGCATAGAATTGAATATTGTTTAAGATTTTATTAATTAAGTACATTTGTACACTTCAGATAAATCATTACATTTAAGGTATGCTATTTTCTAATTTTTCTTTGGAATTAATAGCTGTCCAAAGTCTAAGCTTAGACTTTTATTTTCCCTCCTGGAATAAATTATTTTTCTTATTAATGAGGGTAATTTTGAACTAGTTTTACTGCTGCAAAATAAGAGGAAGGAAGAGCTGTTTCCTAATAAAATGGGAATAACATAAATTTGAGGTTATTCATTTCTCTTTGTTTATATGAATTAGCATATTAATGATTGGTTCATATGTTGTTAATATATGAATTTTAGCTAATAATAGACATTCTTGTTTTCTTGGGTGATAAAGGAAAGATGGTACAATTTATACCTTTATTTTATTCAGCCTTAAACTTCAGTAAACTCCTTACTAAGATCTTCTTTTATCATCTGCCATGGTCACTGAGATTCTTTAAAATAGCTCTTAGAGTAACAGGACCAAAGCAGTATTTGGTGCTCTTATGTACTACTTTCTGGTTCTGTAGAAAAAGCATTCAAGACTCCAAAGACATAAAGGTACGGGAAGGACCAC